CCATATTTTCGTGTGGTTCAGCAAATATATTCCACTTTTTAAAATTATATAAATACTCGCTCAAGATTCGAATTGAGAGGAGCTTTTGGGAACTCTTTTTGGGGCAATCTTTGAGAGTAAGATAGAGGAGGTAACATGGAATTCTTCAACAATAAAATATCAAAAATTTAAAATTTTCAAATTGATTTTTTTTAATTATTTTTATTTGTTGGTTGATATATTTATATTCATAACTATGATTTTAAGTTTTAATATTTTTATTATAAAATAATTAATTTAATCAACTAAGTATATGATGTATAAGCTTAATTAATTTGATATAAGCTTTTATGGCTTTTAAACTTTTGATATTACTATTTCATTCTCATTATGAGTATATATTATTATTTTTAATACATTTTTAATATTTGACCACCATTAAAATTGATATGGGGAGCATAATTGAGACTAAAAGGAGATTTTTTATAATAACTTCTAATAATGTATATCATAAATTGAACAAAAGTCAAAGATATATGGACTAACATGATTTGTACAATATTAATGATAAGTGGACTTAATTTTTTACATAAATTAAGAAATTTCACAAAATATAATGCATTTTTATTTATTTAAATTTATATAGAGACATAGTAGGTTAAAGCTAAAAATAAGTTTAGTATAACTTGAAAAAGTATACTTAATAAGATAAGAAATCCTCTTGTCAAATGAGTAGTAAACATTTTAAAGCATGATAATTTTTTTTTAACAGAAAAAGTAATATTTATTGAAAAAAAATAGAGTACAAGGGGTGCCCCAAACCCATAAACATCCCATAAAGCATAATAATCTAAAATTTATGTTAATTGTTTATGGTGAAATTAAATATTTTAGTACCTTATATCTTGATGATTTTATTTTAAATTGTTATTTTCTTTTAATTAGTTTTAATTAGAAATTCTTCCTTTTTAATTGTTCAAATAATTTTAGAATTTGCTATTTTCAATACTTAATCAGTCATAATCTCCACAAAGAACAATACTTTATTCATCATTCTATTACTTGATTTATTGGTACACTTGTTAATAAATTTTAGCACATCATATTTAAATTTATTAATGTAGCAATTTTCTCTATCAGAAAATTATCTTTCTAAACATAAATAATTAGTGATATGAAATCCTTCTACTATTAAAAAATTTATTAAAGAGAAAAGAAGAGTCACTTAAGCTTATAATACAACTGTTCACCATCTTCTTTTTTCTTTGAGTAGACAGCGTGTTATCACAAATAAAAAATACTAAGCCATCACTCTTTGCTCACCCACACTCGTCGCTACCAATATAGCACAAATTAATAAAAAATACCCAAAGAAATCAAGATTACAACACCACCTTCTTAATTAAGAACCGTGCTCCTCAACAAAAACAAGAAGCTGACAGTGTAAAAGAGCAAGACCCTTAGAAATTTCAGGCTTTCAGCTGAGAATCATACCACCGGAAATAGGAAACCAATGCAGTTATGAAACATATATAGTAAATAAAACTCGGATCTGAAAATCAACGGTCGAAAACTCATGCAAGAATTATGTGAGTAGATTCTATATATACAAATATACAAGACAATCTACGACTTCTGATTTAACACCTCAAATCTCAATCCACCTTTTAACTACTCAACCTGGCCTCTCTTGAATTTTAGTTCACCTTCATAAACACAGCTTATGTTCATTGTACTTCCTCCATTTAACTTTAGTAAACTAATTTTTAATTTAAGACATTTAAATTTAATTATTCACTTTTTTTTTTTAAAGAATGTCATTTAATGCATGCTTTTTTTTTTATTTTATCTTTATTTTAAAAAATAATAATTGTAACATATATTAAATAAGAATACTTATTTAAATAACAATTAACTAGAGATAAATGTAAAATTTTATTGATTAATTAATTATCACATCCTTATTTTATTAGACAAAAAAACTAGACCTACTAGAAATTAAGTAATTTTCAGCAATAAATAAGACAGTGCAGAGGAAATGTTAGAGCTGATTAAATATAGATCATTTTATTGGATAAGGGCAAAGCTGCAACCTAAGCTGTCACTGGAATTATGGAAATCTGACCGGAGACTTGCTCTAAGAAGGAGGTAATAACTTTTCTATCTAAGCCGGTACTGGATTATTAAATTGGGAAGGGTGACAATTTATATTTGCAGCGAGGGTTATGAGATAGGTAGTGTAAATGGTTATCAGGTTAAGGAATACATATGGGTTTGGGTACCTTGTATATATGGTTATAAAAATTTTTGGCTTATCAAAAACAAAAAAACTAAGCCTCCTAAAGTTAAATAAAGAGGGTAAAGGGAGTAGTTAATTGCAATTTAAATCATCAGGTGTGAACACTAAACAATGAATCTTACAATCTTTAGGCACAATACAAGTAATACTAAGATTTTCCCATTTCCCAAAAAAAAAAAAAAATCTTTTTGCCCAAATTAATCAAGCTCTGTATCTGTTTTATGCATGGTTACTACACATACGCATCAAACTGTTCTACCTACTTATAAAAATATTGTTTAGCAGTTCTAGCTCTTGTACAAATCTAGCTCTAGCTATTGATGTTTGGCAAATCAGTTAATTAATTGTCATAATAATCCTAGTTATAGTTTATAAAATAAGTCATTCAAATTATATGATTATTGTTATGGCTATACATAATAATGTTAAGTTACCAATGATCTATTGGTTCGAGTAGAAAAAATTTGGTTCTCCTTAAGTAAAATCTCAAGTTCGAGTCTTATGAATAAAAAAAAAAATAGACGTTGGGAGAAAACCTCTCAAATGAGGTCCTACGCGACTCAATTCCAGATAAGTTAGGATCCAATATGGTTTTTGGAGACTGAGAAGTTAGTATCAAAAAAAATAATAATGTTAAGTTCACACAATATTAATTCTAAAAATATTGATTCTATTAATAATTGATAAATAATAAAATAATTGATATTTATTACTTAATAAATTAAAATTAGTATAAATTGATATTTCAAATATGATAATCAATTGTTGAATAAAAAATTATAAATTATTAAAATATCAATTAAAATAGATAAAATATGTATAATTTAAAAAAAAAAAAAATGTGTGTGATGATATCCACACCCTCAATATAGGGTACTAAATCTAGTTGAATAAATAAGCAAAATAAGGTATGACTTTCAAGAGAATGATATCAGCTTTCCATCATCAACACCTCACTTATTCAATGATAATGGGCGGGAGGTGTAGAGAATGATTCCACCTAATGGAAAGGGATCGAATAACATGTGGGGTGGAATAGATAGACGATACTATACCCATATGGAGTATAAAATGATGAAGGAATCATATATATACATATATCTATATATCTAAGGGTAAAAATCTTTAGGGTTTGCTAAGTGAAGAAGCATCTTAATTATCTTAACTTAGAGCTCTCTGTCTGTTAGCCTTTCTTTCTCTTGTGTCTCTTTCTCTGACACGATGTAGTTATTACACTCCGAAAGCGACTGCGCCGAACCCTAGAAGCAAAAAGAAGAGAAAGAAGGGTTGGGTACAGACGTGATCAAAGCATGGGTAAATGCGTGCTGCTGCCTGCGTCAATAATACAAAAGGGTACCTAAGTAGCAGAAAAAAAGTAAACAGCAGCACGTTCTTCGTAAAATTTGCCTACCCCATTACCCCCACTCCCTGCTCTATGTTCGTCACGCGCTCACGCAGAAACATATTCACATGTTCACACTCTCACGGACTTGTTCTTAAAACTTACTTAACCCGGTTTAAAACTATGTTTTCCCTTAAATCATAAAAAGAACAAGATCGTGACGATTATAGCTCAAAACCGACAATACTTCAGGTTCACGACGGTACCAAGAAAAGAATGCAGTGAAGAATGGGCCCAGTAATAAAAGGGAGGGGTTCTTGCTTGGGCAAAACCCTTCCTCCGGAGCAATCATAATGGCAAAAGGGCAAAGTTCAGAGAGAAGAGAGTAAAATGAAAGTCACAGAAACCAAATACCAGAGCACAATGATTGAGGTAAATAGTGAATTTACTGACGTAGAGGATATTAAGGAGGTGAAATCAGGTGCCTGTGACCGTGGTTCAATAAAGCATAAGAAGGAGAGCCTTGTTGTTTACTATTTTCACCCAATGCTTCACCAACCTCATTCTCCTTCTATACCCTATATATCTATTAACATAAACAACTGTGACTAAAGCTTTCAGGTGAGTTCCTAACAAAGGGAAAA